AAAACACAATTACTGTGATGACATAATCAATTTCGAAATATTGAATCACAACACGATGGCGTGCATTTCGATTTATTATGATATCTTATAATTACAGTTGTACATGTCACCGTCGGAACTGGTCCAGCGGATATAATAAAATTGAATAGCGTTAAAGATGTGAGACGAGCGAAGACTGAATTAAAACTAAATACTGATTCAAGCGCTGGACAGACTGAGAAGAAGACTGGATAAATGTAACAAATTATTAGACTTTAATTAAGATGATCTATTCCAAAGGTTTCAAGGTCACAAACTGTATTATGCTTATCAGAATAATTATATAAATATGAATGTACCCGTTACATAAATTATGATTCAAAAGCCAATGCCGATTAAAAGAACTTATTTAAACCAAATTAAATAATTACAGAAAGCATATAAACGAAACTCAAATCTATGTTAAATTAATTCACGATAGTTTAAAGCAATTATTACGATCAAGTAAAAATCAGTTTACGATAAAAAATAGAAAGATTCAAATTAAAAGATGAATGTTAGGTTAAGTCTTTCCACAATAGTGAGATTAAAATAGCGGCTCAAACCCCATATAGTTACGGTAGTTTTATGAATATAAATGTAACAGTGGGTGAGTGACATCGGAGGATTATAGCACATCGATGTTTACGGATGGATGTTTACGGATGGACGGCTTGACTATCACTGCCTTTGTCCCTAATCTTAATGTAATTTTGATGTGGTCACTCTGAGGGCGCAATGCTGTCTTAAATATACCCTCACACCTGCACCAGTCATTTACTGAAAGAAAATCTAAATTTGAATCATAAATTCAGCAAAATAATTCTTGACCCTTAAAACATGGGTATAAACACTTTAATTGTCATGATTAAATGCTTAGATAAAAAGTTATTGCAGTAAATAAATTTTGCTCTAATGGCGGCAGCTAATTTGCATATCTACCATAATTATATGCATAAAATTAATTCAAAAATAGGGTACAAATGTTCAATGACCCTTGAAACATGGGTATAAACACTTTATTTTTCATGATTGAATGCTTAGATAAAACGTTATTGCAGAAAATCAATTTTCCTGTAATAGCGGCAACTAATTTGCATATGAAACAATTATGCATAAAATATCATTTACAAATATCCTAATAACATTTTCTGTCCCTAAAACATGAGTCTGAACCCTTTATTTATCATGAGTGCATGCTTAAATACAAAATTATTGCAAATATTAGACATTTTCTTAACATAAGTAGCTAATTTGCATATTTATGCAAATAAGGCGACTTCTGGGATGAAACTTGCGTCCCATTTTCGAAATGTCATTTAGCACAACCTTATGAACCAGAATCGGCAATAAGACAAACTGTTGCAATTTGTTTGACTCAATGCTCTAAATCTGCCCGTCTAAAGGTCTATCATCAAATACCAATAGTCAAACGGTGGTCTTCTATAATTGTGACTGTACACAGCCGCAAAAATATTGTAAACAGGAACAACAAATATAAAGATAAAATACGTAAAGGCTACATGCATTAGTTAGACTGACTCTTTGCCTACTCATTATGCAGCCTATGGTCTAGCACAAGACTACGATGGAATGCTTCTCATTCCAAATCACTAATATTACTGTACTGTTCATATCTACAGTACAACTATATATTCCACAACAAATCATGTACATACCAGTCCCACAACAGCTAAATTAAGGCATAGTAAAACGGTGTATTCTACTTTCTAACTCTCCGTTAAGAACAATATGGCGTCCCTGGTTTCCAACATGCAACATTCGTTCTTGGCGCACTAAACTTTCGGGACCCTACCATTATAATTATGATGAACTACAGAGAGCCTCCTATATGAATCTATGTTTATCACATGGCTCCCTTAAATTTTTAACAAAATTTACCTACAAGCAATATAACATTAACATAAGTTCAACAATACAATACAAATAAATACAATGTTCAAAACGAATGTTTCTTGTCGAAAGGTTCGAATGGTATAAGCAACAAGATCATCTCTTGATCAAACAGGATGCAATAATATCTTAGTAATCAATGATTCACACACAGTCCAACAATGTTCTTTTAAATTCAATGTTTTTTCACATTGCAAACAACAGTACTATCTGACGTCTGTATAACTGCTCCACATAACACTACTCACACAATTTTCACATTTAGAAGCAGATATCATCTTCAGCAATGGCAATCTGTATCAAAAGGGCGGCGCTTGGCTCACACCAAATAGAGCACACAAAGGCTCCTTGGCGGGAATAACCACTATAATCAGGACAATTTTTTTTGTATATAGATAGGACGGCGCTAGGCTCGCACCCAATTGAGCACATAAAAGCTCGTTGGCCGGGATAACCCAAATTCGCTACTCATCTTCTTCAGGTCGATCCATTTTGATCTTCTTTGATCGAACATATGCTTGCACCTTTCAAACAAGACCGTCTTCACTTGGATTTGTTGCAATTATTCTAGCAAGTGACCAATGATTCCTAGGAGCATTTTCTTCAATAACAAGCACAACGTCACCTATCTTCATATTTTTACTCTCCTTTGTCCACTTGATTAGATTAGACACAATCCCTCTTTCCACCTATTCCAAAATTCCTCTACCAGATGTTGAACTCTACGCCACCTTTTTCAACAGTACTGGTCGGTACGTGTAAACTTTCCTGGCGGTGGTAACACTCACTTGGCAGTGAGCAGATGGCTTGACGTTAATGGTTCCATGGAAACTTCATTCAAACTGGTCAATGGTCTGTTATTCACAATTGCCTGTGCTTCAACCATGAAAGTATGTAACATCTCGTCATCAAACAAACCCTTATGTTTAAATAATAGATTGCTCAGATTGCTCGGGTACTCCTAATCATCCGTTCCCAAACCCCACCCATGTGACTAGAACATGGTGGGTTTAAGATTTAATCACAGTTCAACTTTAATATTTCTGCCTTTACTACACCCTGGTCTATTTCTTGTAGTGCCTCTCGCAACTCCTTTATGGCTCCAATAAAATTTGTACCTTGATCTGAGCGCACCTGCCTAGTCCGCGTCTTGCTATGAATTGTCTGAGAGCATTTATAATTGAATTGAAAGTTGAAAGGGAATGTGAAACTTCTAGATGAATTGCCCTCGAGGCCATACACGTAAAGAGCACTCCGTACCGCTTAATCTCTCTACGTCCACATTTCACGATCCAAGGGCCAGAATAGTCAACTCTACAGTAGCAGAATGGAGGAACTGGATGTAGCCTGTCTTCCGGAAGATCAGCCATCTTTTGACAACTAGGTTGTTTTCGCATTTTACGGCACATTGTACATCCATATATCCATCTTGATACTGCGGACATACCACCCACTATCCAAAGCCAGCTGACCTTATGCTGTTGTGCGTTATGCCACACCCTTGATGGTGAACCTTTTGATGATAGTGATTGACCAGCAACCTGATGACATCACATTTGGTAGGCAGGTTTACAGGATGCTTAAGATTTATAAAAAGGTCCGACTTCCTCAGACGCCCACCAACCTTCAGTAGACCATTTGCATCTCTCAGTGCGTCTAGCTTGGCCAACTTGGTCCAGTTTGGACAGCTGCCTTATCAACAACTTCTCAGCTTGACTCATATCTTCAACCACAATATCGCCTGAACGCTTACCACCCTTCAACTTATAAATGAAGATGATGCACAGTGCAAATATTCTCTTGGCTTTGTTCCAACTTCTGAAGGACAGTCGTTATACATTCTGGAACTACTGGGATCAATTGCGTAGCAAAAACGTTAACTCTTCTTTATCTTCAATGGAAATTGGAAGCCCATTCACCTCTTTCACTATGTAAACAGGGTCAGATAAAAACGTAGGACAATTCCACCATATTTCTGATGTTACTTTCTGATGTTTTTAAGTTTCCATGCTGCGGGAAGCAATGTCAGCAGGGTTATCTTTGGTACCAATGTAATGCCACTGTCTTAATTCACTGCTATTCCGTATTAGCTGGACTCTGTTGCTACAAAGGTATGAAAGCGTTTAGCATCGTTAGATATGTAGCCTAAAACGACCTTACTGTCAGTCCAAAAATGCTCCCTCAAGTTCTTGTAGCAAATCAATTCTCTTCTCAAAATTGTAGCGATCTTGGCTGACACCGTAGCAGCAACAAGTTTTATTCAAGGGATTGTTGTTGGCTTCCTGGCCCCACTATGGCTTTACTCATCACTAAGGAACATTTCTCAAATATGAACACTTGCGTCACGAAAATGATGCAGTTCAGCAGTCTTAATGGAGGATGGTTCCTTTAGGTTTAACTTGTAACACCTAATAATCCTGACACTATTTAGATATTTAAGTTGATCTTTCCACTGCTTCTACTTCTGCTCGACACTTGTTGGAAACGGTTGATCCCAATCAGATCTATTGGTACACAGGTGTTGCAGTGTCTTCTTGGCATTCAAAACATATGGTGAAACAAACCCTAAAGGGTAAAAAATTGAGCTCACCATAGATAAGACACCTCTACGAGTGGAATGGCGTTCTCGAACACAGGAACTAAATTGAAAGGCATCTGAACCAGCATCCTTGCACAGCTCTATTGTTTGCTTAGCGAGATTAACACCTTCCTCAACTCTGGATACCGATATTAACTCATCATCTACATAAAAATGGTATTTCACAATGTCTGCTGCATCAGATCCATACTTGTTTTCATACACATCTGCAGCTCTATTTAAGGCATAATTTGCTATTCCAGGAGATGATGCTGCTCCAAAAATATGAACCTTCATCCTGTATTCCTTGAGTTTGAGCTCAAATGACCATCCTTCCACTATAGAAATCTCAAGAAATCTCTATCACTAGGTCGAACTAAAACCTGGTTAAACATACCTTCTATGTCTCCAACGATGGCAATGGCAATAGGTTTCACTGAACTTCAATAGGACACCCAACAAACTGTTTGTCAAATTCAGACCCTGAAGGAGGTAGTCATTCAGCGAGGATCCCTTGTATTGGGCCGCACAATCAAACACTACCCTTATTTTATTGGGCTTTCTTGGGTGGTAAACCCCATGATGTGGAATGTAATTGATGTCACCGCAGGCAAGAGCAAGTTGGCGATGTGGCACTCCTTCCGCATAGTTAGACAGCATGCCATTCATGAATGTAACATAATCATCTCTGAATTTTACATTCCTCTTAAACTTGTGTTTCAGTTGATCAAGTCTCTTTACTGCTACCTCCTTGTTATTTGGTAAGTAAAGCTGCTGATAGAATGGTAACGGAAACTGGAAATTTCCGGTCATTGACTAACATTGGTTCAGCTTCTCTTTCAACAAAATCAGCCTCAAACATGGACAGTAACTCATTAGTAGTGGTTCTGTAAACAACATGTCCAAGTTTGAACTCTTTTCTACCTCCAATTAACCCGACTATTCCCCAGCCTAATGATGTTTTTTTTTTTATATAAGGGTCATCATCTTGGTCTGGTACCACCTCTCTAGGCTTCAGGGTTTTGGCACAATTAGCACCTATCAATAGCCAAAATTCAATATTACCATTGTATGGCATCAAGAACCCTTTTAATGATTGCAAGTGTGCCCAGCCATTAGTTGACTCTGGAATTTGGGACTGAGTAACTAGAATATTTGTTCTTGTATAAGAACATGATAGCTCTATAACTTTGTCCTCCTGCCAGCCCGTAATAATAAGCTTATCAATCCGTTTACAACTCACGGGGATTTCTTCTAAAATAGTTGAGATCTTTAAGATGACTGTTGGCCCAGATGCTGATAGCCTATTTTTTAGAGAGCTAGTGATGAAACAAGCATCCGACTATTTGTCTAGCAATGCATATGTTAGCACCTTTCTTTCAGGGTTTCCACTGGTCTTCACCCACATTGGAATTATTAAAGAGTTACAATGTAACATGGCATCATCTTGATTCTGCTCTACAGATTATACTGTCTGAGATGCGTTGCTTGTTGATGTTGGATTGCGTCCATGTACACACAGAACAGTAGGATATTTTTCTTGGCATATCTCACACATATTATCGTTTCGGCATTCTCTCCATATATGTCCTCTTTTTAAGCAGCTATTTCACAGCCTTCTTGTCCTTACAAGCGCTTGTTTTTCTTCAATGCTCATCTCCTTAAACAACCTGCAGGTACATATGCTGTGATTTTCTCCACATGCTTGACATGCATGTTTCTTTTCTGCTTTAGCAGATATGTTGAAAAATCAAGCTGCCGGTTTACGGGTGTTAGCCTGGGTTTGTTGTGACGCAAAACTAGGGTCATTTCTAATCTTTGCCTGCTGACTTACGAATTCAAAACAAATACTGAACAGTGGAAATGGGACACCCTTTTCCTGTTTGTACAGTGCACATTTCGTACGCCACTTCTCTTGCAAAAAGTATGGCAACTTATTTACGATGTTACTAATGCTCTTCGAAAAGTTCCATCATCTCGTGGCAAAGTTCCATCATCTCGTGCTTCCTAAATTTCCTTAAATAAATCCCCAAGTTCTCGCAGTCTGGTGTTTTCTTTAATGCTCAGGTTATGGAAACCTTCTACTCTATTCATAAATGACTTTTCCAGTTATTCAGGCGCTCCATACAGTTCATCTAGGCGTTCCTATAATGCCTTCAGGCACTGCACTGCTCTGATTCGTTTTGCATGACCCTGTGACTCATTTCCAAGCCACCTGGTTAATAGTTCCAATTCATTGATTACACCGGAAAATGAAGCCTTGCACGATCTATAATTCATTGGACAATCATCAAATTTAATTAGTTTATTGCTCAGTAGCTCCTTTTAATCACATACTTAGTAAAATTATCCACACTACTCTGTTTTGAGAACTCCACTTGAGACTGTTCACCTGAGCTGGTATCTCCTGCTGAATTACTAACATTGCTATCACTATTGCCATCCGCCACAACAGACACATCAACCTTACCAGCAATAAACTCACCAGCATCATCTTCATCGGCTACGACTTCATCAGCAACGGCTACATCAGCAACGACCACAGATGTATGAACTAGGACGTCTCCTTTATTATACTCTTTAATATAACATTTGCCTGCCTTAATTCCCTGCATGTATTGAAGCTGACAGGCTGTCATCAACTCCTCTTCCATCTGATAAGTGTCCTCATCCTCCACTAAATCTATTAAGGCTGCATGCCTTTCTTTTGCATTTTCATAGGCTGCTAAAATTCGTTGCAACCTTTCTTCTACACTATTTGCGTCTTCTCCCTCAGATCATCAATTTCTACTTTTAGTGCATTTGGGTCATTTTGACATTCTGACCTTTGACATGTTTCAATGCATATATGCCTATCCCTATACATACTTACTGTAGAGACTTCCTTGTGATCTCAAATTATTTATTTACAAAAGAAATGGCGATACTGACCATTCACCCATGTTACAGGGCATTTATCACATGCGGCTGGTGTTGTCAAAAGGGTTCTTATATCTTGGCAATCAATGTTCACAAGGAGTTGCATTTTGTGTAAACCTCCTTAATATATATATATATATATATATATATACATATATACATAAATATACACACACATAAAAATATATATATATGTACTCTACATATATATGCCTATGTACATTTGTGTTCTTAGCAGAAACCTGACAATATATATGTATTATATATGTTAGCGCCAGAACATGATTTTGTTCTATTTGTGTGCATGTTTTGCTGCCCATAGTTTTGTAGCATGATCGTTTTTGTTAAATTACTTGGGCCAGGGTTGAGAGCTCTTCAATGTTGTAATTTTCCGGTAGTCAGAGTGTTTGTGATTGGATATAAGTTGTCATTCCAATAAATGGTTT